TCTATTTCTCATTTATTTAAAATAAAATGTGAAGCATTTTCAGAATGTAAAATGACCTGAAATGCTAGAAAAATTGTAGGCAAGGTCAGGGATCCTACGGCTTCTGCTCACAATGATGCAACCAGTGTCAGCTGATAGACTGGAATGGCAGAATTGAGTAATGAAAATATGTCACCTGTTGTGAAGAAAGCCTTTGATAATCTGGAGAATGGGCAAATGGGCCAGGGTGAACTCTAGCAACATGCCACCAATAAGACCTTAACCAAGAGAAGAATAGAGACCACTTACAGCTGGATAACTTTGTCTGGACATCAGTGGTCCTTCCTACAAGAGAAACATCAAGTTTTAACTGTGTCAGTGTATCTTTGATGGTGGCAATGTTGTTGCTTATATTTGCCTTCTGGGGTTCAGATGGGCTGGTTCAGCAGCTAGTTTCTAGCTCACTTATCAGACAGTGGGTCTTACCGCGATCATCTTAACAAGGTTTTATACTGATAAGTCAAAAGCTTCAGTTTACTTTTAAAATTAGATATCCTAAAGAAGTATATTGCTTGTCCATCTGTAGTTTTCTTCTTAGGATAATCTAGACTGTTGGCAAAAGAACAAAATTTGCTGGTGCATTGAAAACTATTCTTTGAGCAATTCCCACTGAATTCTTCCCACTAAATACTGCAAATCTCTGTACCACTGTGTGTGTGTGTGGAGATGTACTGTTGAGTAGCAACTAAGTTTGTCTTAGTTGAGTGATCACTGAATTATTCCTCTGCATCTGGCAGAATCTCTGTGAATTAAGAGTTTCATTGAGCCAGCAGATTTTCTTCCGATCAGGGAGAGGTAGATTATATTTCTCCGTGTAAACTAGTTGTTGCCTGTTCATTGAATCCGGAGCTGATGCTAGGGCCAAGCCTCTGAACCCTTGAAAGGGATTGAGGCATATACATTCTGCAGTCCCCGGAGCCCAGCACAGGACTGTATCACCTTCTTAATTTAAGCTTATGTCTAAGATTTTCTTTTAATTCTCATTGTTGACACAATTTATTTTGGTTTTGAACAACCTTAAACTAATTTATAGTGTCTGAATCACTGACTTACTCCCGTTCACCTAGAAATTGCAATAACCTTTCTTCCCTTGGACTACCAGGAATAGATTGAGTGCACTCATCATTTTGAAAGCAGTCCTCAGTCCTAATATTGCAGAACCTTTCCACTTCTTTGCCCAGCACTTGAGAAAGAATGTTTGTTGTGGATCTCAGGGATTATCTTCACATCCCCTAATGTAACCATGAGAAAACTCCACATTGTTATCCAAAATC